AAAGAAATGGCCAAAATATTATCTACTGCACTTAAACAGCATAGTCACGATGCAGTGTATTCGCTCCTCTCGTTTCTTCCACCCGAAGACCAAAAACAAAGAGGCAAAAGGAAACTTTGACTTTATGTCACAGTCACATTAAAAGAGGAGCAAAATTGCAAAACGAGAATCCATGCTAAATAGAAAGAGTCCTCCATTCAATTACAAATACAACTCCATGGATATCCATGATGTCTTGAGAATATGATGTCCAAACTACATCAATCACAAGATAGTTAATGCCACCTGAAATTATTTTCATTGTGTGCAGAAATGAAAATTATAAATAGAAAAACTATTTCATTTCTTACTACCCAATGAAGTGACAATTTAAGAGCACCTTTAAATAGAACGGATAAGAACCACAAAGATAAATATGATACGACATAGCTTCCACTGATGCTTTTGATTGGCTCTGGCTCAGCACGGTAACAGCCATGTCTTAGCAAGACAACAGGCTAAGGCTGAAATTTCAACAGAAGCCTATGAGACTAGGCTGTCCTATAACAGTCATTCAGACCCACCAGCCCTGCTGAGCCATCTCAGTTTGTGCAAGTCTCGCGTAGACTCAGTGAATTTCTAAATATTTGTTTCGACGACAAAGTAATTACGTTTATCACAGGTAGAGATATACGCAAAAGAAAACTCACAAGAGAAACAGATGCCCCAGTGTTGAGTGCTCTTCCTGTCCGTCCAACCCGATGAACATATCCAGAAGAATTTCGAGGCATGTCAAAATTTATAACCTGGGAATGTGGTGCAGGGATCAGACACAGTAATTGTTAAATAGCGAAAGACCACTTTCACACATTATACAATCGTCTGGTAGCAAAGAACTTATAAAGAGTCTACGCACAACAGCCAGGACTCGGCATTACCTGATGATAGCCAGTGATTCCCATATGTTAGATATTATCAAAAGTTCATAAAAAATAGAGCAAGTAAATATTGATATATAGCATAGTGATATCAGAGGCAAAACCAAATGCTTATATAGTAAGTCCACATGATTCCCGTACATCCCAGCACTCAGATGAGCTTTTAACTAATATTCTTCCTACTGTGCCCCAAAATATGTTAACAATTTCTGAAATGATCATTTTAGTGCACACACTGTGTGGTGGAAATTGAACTGGCAATTTGCTACCATCATTCTAGGACAAGTGCAGTGATCACCATTCTTTGGAAGTGATTTCCTTTTGGCTGTCCAGATATCTAGTATGAAAGTAGGTTCCTCTTTGAATAGTGGCAACGCCCATCAATTGACATCTCAAATAGATCTCAGCATGGGAGGCTCGGTTTGAATAATGGCAACGCCTATCAATTGAGATCTCAAATAGATCTCAGCATGGGAGACTAGCAAACCGAGTAAATGGACCAGCAAAAAAAATTCTTAGTTCTTATCAGAATAAACTTATAAGAGGACCAAACAAACAGAGAGTGCCCAACCAGAATAGAATTGCAAGGACTTTGATAAAAATAAAAAGAACAAACTGAGAAGTGAATATGGAATTATAGATAAAAATAATGGGAGAGAGATAAATCATGACTTGGGCTCGGTGAAATTGTTCAGAGTGATGCTTGAACATTCTCATTAGATTCAATTTGGCTGTAGGCACTACAGCCATGACCCTCTACGAAGTGTTGTTTGGTGCTTCTGCAAAGAAGTAACATTCATAGGTGTGCACCCTAATGCATTTCAATTAAACCTGGTGAGAGAGACGAAATGATGAATACACAGCTTGCCTTTCTCGCATTATCGTGACTGTGACACATAAATTTAGGGTGACTAGTAGAACTCGCAACTAGAAGTTGCATCCAGTTGTTTGAATTGTGGTTGGAACTATTTACCTATCTACACACATTGAAAATTCCCATCTGATGCTAGACTATGCAACGAGTTTAACCTGTTTTGAATTACTAGTGGCACAATGTTCCTATTTGAGCTCCATTCGAAAAGAAAACACGAACAGACCTGCACTTCATATGCCTAGTGCATTGTGTACAGTAGACTCAATGGAAGAATGGGTGTGTTTTTTGGAGATTCAACCAGACAACTATGCGTATCAGATGTGTGACAAGACTTCAAGCTAGATTTCATGTGATTGATGTATACTGTCACAGCTCCGCCTCAGTCATATGCTAATATACCACAGTCGTGTCAAGTATTCTAGAGCCCTAACCTGTTTTGAATTTCTACAGGCACCACCTCCCTATGTGAGCTTCGCTCAGAAAAGAAAACATGAAGAAACCAGAACTAGTGATATACCAGGCGCATTGCGTACAGTAGATTCAATAGAAGAATGAATGTGCTTCAGATATTCAACCAGCCCACTAGGAGTGTCAGATGAAGGATTGAGCTTTAAGCTAGACTTCGTATCATTGGAGTACAGTCCCACAGATCTGCCCCAAAGTCATAGACTAATCAATGTTACTGCCCGGCGCCTAGGAACCCAAAAACAATTTTCCGCACTCCTGGACCTGGGCACCCCAACATGGGTGGCTGTACCTGGGCGAGCGCCCAGCACAGTTTACGATTTTTTTTTTTTTAGCTTTGCCCAAAAAGGCAAAAGGGGTCATTTTGACCCCCAAGTTTGTATAAAATAAGTTTAGGGGTTTATTTTCAACCCCAAACTGAAAATAAAAAACAAGAAACCTTCCATCTTAAACAATTGCTGAGAATCAAAAATACTTCTTGTGGATTGAAAAAGTTTGTTTTTCTGATTGAAATTATTTTTAGGGTGCTATTGGTGGTATTAGAAGGGTGCTATTGGTGGTATTAGAAGACTTTTAAGTTGATTCGTAGCTCGACTGAGTTAGCCAACATCGAAGATCAGAGATTGGGTAGAAAAGGTCAGTCTGTAATCTTTATTTGAGATTTATTTTTTCAATTTGAGATGTCTTCCACGGGGTCTACTAGGGGTGGAGATCCAGGATGGAAATATTGTGTTAACCCGGAAAAGAATGACAAAAATAAAATTATGTGCAATTTCTGTGGACATGTTTCTAATGCCGCCATAAATAGATTTAAGAAACATCTTGTCGGCATTAAAGGTCATGTCGCCCCACGTAAGAAAGTCCCAGATCTTGTAAAGAAGGAAATTTGTAAAAAAAAAAGGATATAGCAGAATTAAAGTCAAGGGTTCATATTTTTTATGACAATACTGAAACTGAAGAAGAGAATGAGGAAGAGGGGGAAGAAGAGGTAGCCATGGTTGATACTCAAAGCTCTAAAACCAAGAGGGATTTTGGGTCTAAGAAGGCTCGTACGAGAGGGCCTAAAGTTAGTTTCTTTAAACCTAGCCCTGAGACAGTAATTGAGAAAGGCAAGGGAAAGGGGAAAAAACAGGTAACAATTGAAAATAGGTTTAAAAAGGAAGATCGAGCCAGGGTGATTCAGTATATTGCTCGGTGGTTTTACCATGAGGCCATTTCTTTTAACACTGCTAGTTTGAATAGCTTCCATACAATGTTGGAAGCAATTCGGCAATTTGGGCCAGGTTTGAAAGATCCAGCTCCTTATGATATTGGAGAGCCACTACTGAAGAAAGAAGTCGAGTACACTAATGAATATCTCAAGACTCATAAGGAGGGATGGGCTAAATTTAGGGTTTCTTTGATGACAGTTATGTGGAGTGATAGGAGGAGGAGTAACATGAATTTATTAGTAAATTGTCCCAGGGGTACAGTTTTTTTGCATTCAATCGATGCTTCCAATGATGTTCATGATGAGTATTATATATTTTCTTTCATTGATAAGGGTATTAAGGAGGTTGGGGACGAACATGTAATTCAAGTGGTCACAGATAATGCTGCTCCCAATCTAGCTGCAGGTCATTTGCTTCGACAAAAGAAGCCTCGCATATTTTGGACTCCTTGCGCTGCACATTGCGTAGATCTTATGCTTGAGGCAATTGGTGAATTGCCTCCTATTAAAGGAATTATTTTTAAAGCTAAGGAGGTTACAATCTTCATATACAGTGACATACTTACCCTTAGCATGATGTGCAAGTTTAAAAAAAAGAGAGCGCTAGTGAGGCCTGGGGTCACTAGATTTGTCACTACCAACCTTAGTCTACAGAGCATGTATAAGCGGAGGATCGCATTAAGGTCTATGTTTGCTTCTGAGGAGTGGAATAGGTGTAAGTGGTCCAGAGATGCCAAGAGAAAGAAGACATGAGATATTTTTCTTTCAAAATATTTTTGGCGTGGGGTGAAGCGTGCGATATTAGTATTTCTTCCCTTGGTGAAGGTCTTGCGCTTGGTTGATGCTGATAAGCCCTCAATGGGCTTTATAAATGATGCAATGGAAAGGGCTAAGAATGAGATTGCAGAGAATTTGGGCGATGATGCAGCAAAGTATGCCCCAATTTGGGAGATTATAGATGATAAATGGAATAGGCAGCTCCATAGACCATTGCATGCAGCGGGGTACTACTTGAACCCCAAATTCTTTTATGCAGATGCAGATATTGAGTCAAAAGGGGTAATTATGGATGGTTTTAATGAGTGCCTTGAGAAATTAGTTCCTGATCCAAATATCCAAGATAAGATATCAATTGAAGAGCTAATTTCGTCCAAGTGTTCTTTGATGTCATACGGGAAAGATATAGCATTAAGGCAGAGAAACAAAGACGAACCAGATAATATTCTTTTGACTTACGTACTTTTGTTTTATAAAATATAAATTTATAATTTTCTTTAAAGTTTTGATAACGTTAAATACCTAAATTAATTATAAAGGTTGCCCACATATTGCAGCCCAATACTGGAGACAAGAGTAGCGCTCCAAACCTCCAGAAGATGGCTATGCGGATCTTGAGTTTGACAACTACCTCTTCTGGTTGTGAGCGCAATTGGAGTTCGTTTGAAATGGTATTTTACTATTTTACTATTTTAAAGGAATAAAATTTTATATGCTTTTTTTGTTTATAAGTTCATATTCATTTTGTAATATAGATTCATAAAAGGTAAGAAGATCATAGACCTATAGTAGCTACTTATGCATTATTTTTCCTTATAGGTGCATACAAAGAGAAGAAATAGGCTTAGCAAAGGAAGCTCAATGACTTGGTTTTTGTTAGTGAGAATCAAAGGATCAAGGAGAAGAAAAACCAGCCAAAGAAGGACCCTATCTCTTCGAAAGACATGGAGAATGCTTCAGATTGGCTAGTTAGTGACCCTGGTACTGAGGAGGTCTTCCCTGGGGAGGGTTTGACATGGAAAATGGCCAAGGAGGCTTCAAGGCAAGCTTCTGATCCTAGGAGGGCCACTCGAGCAACTTCTTCTGCTGGTACTTCACGGAGGGAGATAGAGGAAGAGGAGGTCGATTCAGAAGAATCTCTGGAAGAAGAGGAATATGTTGAAGAGGGTGATGATTCTGATGATGACGGCCTCAATTCTGATGCAGATGAAGGCAATGAAGATGATGATTCTGATTTTTATTGATGTCTTGATTGTCTTCTCTCTTCGTTTGAAGTAACTTTAATACTTTATTGCATCATCTTGGTTTAAGCTTTAAACATTTGGAGTTTGAACGATTTTTATTTAGTTAAGTGGTTTGTAATTTTTTTGCCTTTTTTGACTATTTCGTTATGTGGTACTGTGGTTTACTAGTTTTTCTATAGTTTTGGAAGTCAGTTTGTTGATGACTTGGAGAGTTAGAGACTTGGAATCTTGGATGTTATTATGGTTTATTTTATGGATATGGAATATGCCAATATGGAGAATTTTAATTTGAGAGTTGGAGACCTTACAGAAGCCTATTAGACTTTTAAATGTTTTGTATGGTTCAAATTTTGGAATAAATTAAAAACTTTGACACAAATATATGCATATATGTGCATTTGGATAACAAATATAAAAAAAAAAACTAAGAATTTGCACCGCTGGGAGCCCGAGGTTTTGAGCGCCCGCCTAGGCGCTGGGCGCTAGGCGTCAGGTAGGCCGCCTAGGGGCTGCCTAGCGTTTTTTGAAACCTTGAGACTAATCCACCCGAGTCGTGTCAAAATATCCAACTCAAAATAAATCTTGTCTATGGATTATCACACAACTTTCCATTGTAAACCGTACTTACCAATATACAAGAAGAGGGACTTTATAAAACTGTGAGACACATCACATAGTGATTGACAGTACCATTTCATATCCAGCTTATGAATGACCATCTACCTAGATATGTCCACAAGCAAGTGGTTTCTCAAACAAGTGGTTTCTCAAACGATGGTTAATATTTACCATTTCAAGAGAGAAGAGGGGAAGAGGTGTGGGTTATTTGGGGGGGGGGAACAAGGGTGTGGAAGAAAGAAAGTGAAGACCCTAAACATGTAAACCAATATGAATTTTCAATATTTCAAACTTTTCTATTGCATAACAGAACTCATATAATACATGCACAGACTAACAGAGTATATAGCGCACAATTTCAAACATATTGCCCATTTCTCATACAGACCCCTCACATAGAATAATATCACAACATATGATTTGATAAATAAATCTTACAGAAAATTAGTCCATAGTACTTCCTCTTAGTCGTCACCAGAGACTGAAATTGCCCCGATCTGGTTGGGAACAGTTCAAGACCGTCGAGATTCCTGGTAGGAATCGGCTATTTGGCCATTATATATTCTCATATATAGATTATAATACACTAAGATGGAATAGCTTAGTTGGCTAGAGCGTGTGGCTTGTAAACACTAGGCCGAAGGTTCAAACCCTCCTAGTGCTCTATTTTTTCAACATTTAAACGATATATATAAAAGAAATATGTACAATGAGACCATTTACTTTTGATACAAGGAGGTCACAGCCATCATTGACCATTACATTTGAAATTTGGGTTATTGTTTGGGCACAAATTCCAAAATAAAATTTCTCGAATGTTGTGACACACTTCCATTTATTGGATTTTCACATCTAATGACTAAAAATGATCATAACGTCCTTGTACCAAGAAACAAAGTCTCATAGTATGCAATCCCATATTTTTGTATACAACAAAATATATTCAATATAATATTAATATTGAATGTACTATGAATATAATATACATAAACTATGAATATAATATACATATTACATATTATATATTTATCCATTTTCATAATGTTATTATTGAACACAAGACGATTCATTCGAAGCCTCACATACTAGGCAACTCAGTTCTTCCAATTGAGTAAAATATAATACCCATATTATTTATAATACCGTTTATTTCATTCTTTCTTTTTTTCTTTTTTAGTTTTCACCAGATTGCCAATCAAAATAGGGATCAGTACATGGGCGATCTACCCCACCCATCCAGGTTTTAGAAATTGGATGTGACAAAGCAGCAAGACAAAAAAAGAGGTGGTGACCACTCGATGAGTCCTAATGATCATTAGCCATATAAACATTTCTCTTGCAAAAAGATGTTTACATACCGTATAGACATTTTTGAAATCAATTCCTCTGGCCACCCCAAACTCTGCATCCAAAAGTGGCTTCCGATGTTTTTTGGATTTTACAGCAGAAATTTTCCCAGGAGACTCTTCATTCTTCAGGTATTTGCCAACATCAGTTGCTATCAGATAATCAAATAGTCCTGCATTGAACTCCTGATAAACCCAAAAACATGAGAATACTTAACAAAACCTCCAGTGTCAAAATAAATAACATAAGGAAGTTCATTATCAGGAAAGAAACAACACACACTTCCCAATCATTCTCTAAAACTTAGAACTAAAAACCAATTAGAAAAACAGAGAAACAAAATTGTTTATATTTTTAAGTTCATTTAAAATTTCGTAAACACAAATTACCATATGAATACATGGATCCACAAGCAGGTATGCACAAACACATTCACACACAAACATAAATGCATGTGTTCACTATGTATGTGTGTATGCATGCCCACCAGCCCATGAAATAGGGTGCATGTGCATGTGTGTAAACCACATGCCTATGGAACATTACAGGCCAAATGGTGCATATTCAATCTTGACACATCTAATGGCCAGCATGTATGGGCACTTTTTCTAATATTTTTGCAAATACTTTTCACCTGATTTATTGGTTTCTTCTCGCTCTTTTCTTTTTTTGCAGCAGATCACCCAACAGCACTTTCATCGATCGGGCCAACAAGTCGTCGGCTTGAGGCTGGCCATGGGAAGGAAGTTGCCACGTGCGGTGGTCCTAATCAAGGTGTTATTACAACACCGATGGTTACCGGATTGGAGGCCAATGCTCCCGTCAATATTGTTGCGGCCGCTGTTGAGGTTGGCCCGAGAACTCGCGACAATCTTCTGGTTTTTAGATGGGATACAAAACCTGGTGAGTTCCCTTGCTTATCAAGAAAACTAGAAATATATGTCAACCCTTTAGACTTATCAGCCGATATCCTTTGACGTCGTAGGTCTGGCTGGGTCTTCGATACGTCAGCCTGGTGCCAATCGTGGGACTGCTTCTTTTGACTCTCTTCAAGAGAGTTTGAGTCGAAAATGGGGACATGCTTTATTATGTTTCTTTTGTGAGGAGATTTTGGAATTCTCTCCCACAAAGCTTGCTGCTGTCGGCGACTCGACAAGAGAGGTGGTGTCCTTGGTAGCCTCTCTTTGTTTTGAGACCAAGGACTTCCTCCCCTAGTTTAGCAGGTTGGCTGAGACTGCTAGGCGAGCGAACCCCACCTTTGTAAGGAGAGAGAAAGCTTGCCTCACTCAGGTAGAGGCCAATCTGCAACGCTCGGCTTTGCAAAGCTTGGAGGCCTGTCGTTCCCGGAGTACGGCCATTGCTGCAGAGAAGGCAGGAGCCAACGAGACATTAATTGCCGCTGAGACTTCTCTCAAGGGCCTACACAAGTCGATTGCAGAGCTCGAAGCTCTTTTGGCCACAAAGAGCCAAGAGTTTGAAGCAGCCACCGAAGCCATGGTTGAGCATCGAGCCCATTTAGAGAGGCTCAGCGCAGAAAGCCAATGCCCGAAGGCAGAGAGTCAAGAGTTATCAGCAAGGCTAACTCGCAGCCAAGCAGAGTCTGAAGCGGAGATTGTTGCTGGCATGACGCGAGCACAACAGCTCTCGGAGGAGGCCAGACAGCAAGTGCCATGGCAATTAGGGGGTTTCTGCCAATGGTTGCAAGATTGGCAACCTTAGCCCCACCCCCCCCCCCCCAATTTTGTTTATACATGTGGGCCAAAGTCCCTTTTTTTCTTATTGTACCGGCTTTGGCTGCTTTTCTTTTTTTAAAATGAAATTTCATTTAGTCCCAATGACTCACATGTACATACTTTTTGTAAAAGCATCGATTTGGACTAAGTCGTAATAATTTGAGGCGTAACATGCAGTTTAGACTCTTGCGTCAAAGAGTTAGAATTTGGCTAAGCAGAGTAGCGTTTGACATAGCTGCCACTGATTCCTAGCATCGCAGGCTCTCCTTTTTCATTGACTAAGGAATAGGCACCATTAGGATAGACCTCTTTTACAATATAGGGTCCCTCCCATTTAGGTTCAAACTTCCCTTGTGGTTTCTGGGGGAACGCAATTGGGCACCTCAGGGCAAGGATAAGATCTCCTGCCTTGAAGGCCCAATCCTTGACTTTCCTATCAAATGACCATTTCATACAGGCTTGGTAGACCTCAATATTCTGTTGCGCATGAAGGTGTTTTTCATCGAGGGCTTCCAATTCCTTTGGTCGAATTTAAGCCCTTTCATCCTCACTTATTTGGTAATGGACTGCAATACACAAACATGGCAACTCAAGCTCGATCAGTAAAACCGCTTCCCCATTGTATACCAATGAGAAGGGGGCTGGCATTGGTGGCACCACTTACTGTAGTTTTGTAGGCCCATAGAACTTCTGATAGCTTCTCGTGTTAATCTCTTTTAACAGTAGAAACTACTTTCTTTAGGGCACTACAAAGAGTCTTGTCCTGACCGTTAGCTTGAGGATAGTAAATCGTCAAATATTTTCAGGATAAATGGAACTCTTGTTGCAACCAGTAAATATCATGATTATTAAACAGAGTCCCATTGTCTGAGACTACGACGTTTCGTACCCCATATCTAGAGATAATATGACTCCGAATGAAATTCGCAACTGTCTTTCCTATGACTTTTCTGAGTGGGACAGCTTCTGTTCATTTGGAAAAATAACAGGTAGCAACCAAAATGAATACATGCCCACTGGTTGAGATAGGTTCTATGGGCCCTACCACATCCATCACCCACTTGGTGAGAGGCCATGAGGAAACCGTCGGATGGAGCGGTTCAGGTGGAACATGTATGTAATAGCCGTGAAACTGGTAGGAAGAGCTTCTCTTTCCATGCTGCAAGTTGTCTTGTATCATGGTAGGCCAATAATAACTCAAACGCTTGATCCTTTCAAAAAGTTGTGGACCAGATTGATGTAAGCCACATATTCCGTCATGAATCTCTATGAGAACCCCGCGGGCTTCGTCATTGGTTAAGCACCACAACAGCAAGCCATCGAAGCTTCTTCGATATAAAACTCCATTTGACATCGTAAATATAGAGGCTTTTCTTCGAACAGAGTCCCTTTCATTCTTCTCTTCCGAGAGAAGTCCATAATGCATAAAGTCTATAAATGGCTATCTCCAATCACTGGTCTCAACCGGGGCGCAGTTTATTAGCACCGCAAGCTGAGCCACGGCCTCAAGGGCTTCTAGGAGTTGTCCGGCTTCCAAAGGTTCTAGGAGCGAGCCATCTCCGACCGAGGAGGAAAGCAATCGTCTTTCCTAAACCCATACTTGTCAAGTTTTTAAATTCATGGAGCATTATGACCACCCTGAGCCTAACCAAGGCAACAGCCTGGCTATTTTTGCTTCATGGTAAATGTTAAGAGATATCCTCTTGAAATTATGCATCACGCTCAAAGCCTCTTGATGATACGGAAGGAATTCACTCTTATGCACTTAGTAACGCCCTTCGGTCTGACGACTTTCTAGCTACGATAACCAAACACAGCTATTTCTTCAATTCCCAAGGCGAGAGCCATTCGAAGACCAGTAATGAGAGCCTCGCATTCAGCTTGATTTCCCAAACATATCATCTCCAGGGAGAAGGGATATAGGAGTAGTCCCTTCTCAAGAGTTATAAATAGGATGCCCACAATGGAGCCCTTGGCTTGGGAAGCACCGTCAAAATACATTTTCCATGTTGGACGTTCTTCAATCAATAGAATGTCGTCGTGGTGAATCTTCCATTACACAAGACCCTTCAGAGACCGAATGAGATGCTAAAAAGTCAGCTAATGCTTGCCTTTTATTGCTCGTTGGGGGACATAAATGATGTCATACTCCATGAGCAGTACCAACCATTGGCCAAACGACAACTGAACAAGTATTTGATGGGATCAACTCTAGATATGAGCTTCACCGGATATTCAAGGAGACAATGCCTCAATTTCTGGACTGCAAATACCAAGGCAAGACACATCGTTTCAATGGGAGGTATATTTATGCTCTGCACCAACAATCATTCTACAAAGGTAATAGAGAGCAACTTCCTTCCCTTCCTGATTACGTTGTGTGAGGAGGGCTGACCTTTCTTGGGCCGCATATAAAGTATCAACGAATGGCCTTTTACCCGGAGCAGAAAGCACCGGAGGGGTAGATAATTAATTTTTTAGGCTATCGAGGGCCTTTTGACATGCTTGGTCCCATTTAAAGGGAACTCACTTTTTCATTAGTCTGGAGAAAAGTTGACACTTGTCAAACAAGTTGGAGATAAATCTCCTAATATATGCTAATTTCCCCTGCAATGACCTGAGCTCTCTCAGATTTCTAGGGGCCAGCATTTCTTAGATGGCTTTAATTTTTGCAGGGTCAATCTCTATAACCATGTGGCAGACAATAAATCCAAGGAACTTTCAAGATTGAATGCCAAAAGCGCATTTCAGGGGGTTCATTTTGAGCTAGTATTTTTGCAGCTAATCGAACACCACCTGAGGATCTTCGGCATGATGGTTATGCTTATTTGACTCTACGATCAAGTCGTCCATGAAACACTCAACTTCCTTAAGTAGAAAATTTTTAAAAATGGTAGTCATAGCCCTTTGGTATGTGGCTCTGGCATTTTTAAGGCCGAAGGGGATGACCCCGTAACTGAATATCCTAAGGGGAGTTCGTAAGGCGGTAAATTCTGCCTACACTTGATCCATTCTAATCAGGTTATACCCAGAATATTTATCCATAAAGGAGAGAACCTCAGCCTTGACCACTGAATCGACTAAGATTTTAGTGTTAGGTAGGGGGAAATCATCTTTGGGAAAAGCAGCATTCAGATCTCGAAAATCGACACAAACTCTGATCTGCCCAATCTTCTTTTTCACTGGAATTATGTTAGCTATCCTGGTAGGGTATTCCACTTCTTGGATAAACCATGATGCTAGTAACCGTTCTAACTTCAACTTCGATTTGCGGTATGAGCTCCGGTCGAAGCGTTCGTGGATCCTACTTAACAAGTTTGACCTTAGGGTCAATGGTCAGTTTATGGACTAACATGGAACAATCGAGTCCTGGAATTTCTTGGTATGTCCAGGCAAATACGTCAATGTTTTTACAACGAAATTCTTTGTAATGTTCTCTCTCCTAGGGGGAG